GAGAGAGAGAGAGAGAGAGAGAGAGAGAGAGAGAGAGAGAGAGAGAGAGAGAGAGAGAGACAGCGAGGCTATATGAGAGCGCTTACCGCGTAGCCATTGATTAATTGTGTGTACTTGTGTATTTGTGCATTTGTCCATTTGTATATTTGTGTCTGTTGCATGTGTGATAGGGTATAGGTCGAGGCGACAGGGTGAGAGACCAGATACGTTGGTGATTCGTGGGTTGCCATGCAGATGGTTGGTGGAGCCTCGAGTTTCCTCAAAGCCGTCCGTTCTGGTCACACACACCATCTTCTCGAGCTTTGGAACCATTCGGTGTGTGCTCAAGTTTTTTCTTTTTCTTCTCATCAACCTTCAACGTCACTCGCCCATTCATTTGCCTTGCCAACATGCATCACATCAGTACTATGCACTTTTTTTCTTTTATAACATATTTATTTATTAATATATTAATAATATTATTAGTTTTTCTTATTTTTTTAATAAATCTGTCTTCTCCTCATCGGGGGGGCAGCTATATCCACATTTGAAAGGGAAAGGATGGACTGTATTAAAAAAATAAAAATTCCGTATTGGGAAAGAGGCAAAGGGAAGCAAATTGTTAAAAAAAAAAAAAAAAAAATAGGGAAATCAAAGGGAAAGGGAAGGGGAAGGGGAAGGTTCTTAAAAAAAAAAAAAGAGGAAGGGGGAGGAGGAGGGGGGAAGGGAGAAGGAGAAGGGAAGGAGAGGGGAGGAGAAGTAGGAAGAGGATGATGCACGGACCCGCGAAGCATACGTCGAAACCACTGTGTAAGACGAGTTATATGGACAGGGTGTCGACGCTGGCGAGCACGAATGTAAGAAAAGTCCATTCACGTGCCAATGTCGATGGGACAAGGCCACGGGAAATCAAATGGCGGACAAGCATGGTTGCCGCAGTAGTTCTGAAATCAAATCATATGCCAATTGTCACAAATCTGCTCAAACTGCGTACTAAGCTGGCCGGTGAACACACCTGCAGGCTGATGAGATGGAATGTTCGACGTCGCGCACTAGCATATCGTATAAGTTAAACAGGAGAATCCCATGCAACAGTCTTATCAAACACACTCAATCGGACAGATCCGTCTGCTCGTGTCTGCGGCTGATGGCTCGTGCACCTTTTTAGGATAGGAGCGGAACTGCAGACACAAGCAGACGGATCTGTCCGATTGAGTGTGTTTGATAAGACTGCTGCATGGGATTTTCCTGTTATTCTCTCCTCCTCCCAGTCCCCCTTCCTCTCAATGTCGTGTTGATGCTAATATGCGGGGTTCTTTGTCTTACCGACAGCCTGCTCTGCCACGTCGATGGCATTTGTCATTTACCCCGCCAGATCAGATCTGGCTTTCCAGTGGTGACCGACTCGGATCTGCAGGCAGACCTACCAAATGTTTGTGGTTTGACAGCCACAAATGTCTGCCTACATCAATGGCTTATCAGTGTCAATGTTATACTGCATCTCAATTTGTTGCGATTGCTTATCAGCTTGACGCTGTTGGAAATCAGTTGTGTTGTATGACCATAATGGTCCGCCTCCTGAGGGTAGGGAGTAACTATACTCTACCTCAGGGGCCTTTACTGTAAATGTCTTACGGTTAGCGTTCCATGGTCGCCACCTTCTTTTAATGCATCATGCGACGTCAGGCGGTGACTTCAATAACCATCCTCATATTTCTGCCTGCATTTTACACAGACCCGGGCATTATATGGCACTCATTCGTGCAGCTGCCGAGTGGGAGCTGTGGGATGGGACGATGAGTCAGGCTATTTTCAACGTAAATGAATTTTTGTGTGGATTGGCGAATCATACTTTATTCTGGATGATTGAACGACTCTCGTGTGACACCTGTCGGGACAGAGACGCGGTGCGCTTTGGCTGTGGAATGCATCATCTATGCCATAGCCATTATCAATCTATTGCGACTGCCGCCGTCTGTACTGAAGGGTGTCCAACATTTCCTCGTTGTACACATCCCTATTACCCAGATATACATTGTCCCTTTTGTGCCCAAGGCCGCTATCAGAACTGCATGATGCCGCACTGTGATGAACGTCCTTCTGTTCTTTTGACATGTGGACAACATGTCCTCTGTCGGGACTGTTTTGATGGGATGGTTCGCGCTAGCCGTCCTGCTGAATGCCGTGCTGGCGCAGCTCTCCTTAGGTATCGTTGTGAACATCGACGTCATCCTCACCGTAGCTGTCTTATCTGCCGAGGTGGGGACAGATAAAGCCTTCGACACTACTGACAGATACAGAGTTAAAGAAAAAAAGAAAAAAAGAAAAAAGGAATAAAAGGAGAAAAGGAAAAAAAAAAGAAAAAAGAAAAAAGAAAAAAAAAAAAAAAATGTTGATCTGTGGGATGTGCTATTTGCTTTGTGACAATTGGATTATCTGTGGGATGTGTCATTTGCTTTGTTTGACTGATAGGCTTTCTTTCCCTGTCAGGTTTGGTTTCCTCCTCCTCTTCTTTACCTCTTTGCCTTTTGGCTGTGTGCAAGTGAGTCCTTGTGACACTTGGGGATGGGGGCAGCCAGCGCTGAACCTGTCATCCACGTGGCTGGCCTTGTACGTAAGAGGTGATGAACAGGTGGGGCTTTCCTTCCTTACTTCTTTTCGTTTTCTTGTTTTGTCATTTTCCACCATTGCGCTCCGATTCACAGTGTGACAATGTATTTATCTGGCATGCATGATTTCACAACGCTATCACAACTGCCACACATTATTTCACAAGGCTATCAGAACTGAATGTCTGTGACCGCAGTTTTATGTCCAGTTCACTCCGGTTATAACTTCGAGCGGTTAGCAGCTCATCCCATTACACAACTGGCACGCATGATTTTCTACAAGGCTCTCACAAAACTGAATGTATCTGACCGAAGTTTCATGTCCAGTTCACTCCACTTATACCTGATACACAAGTTGTGAGAGCCTTGTAACAATCAATCATGCTTGTGAGAGCATTTCTAAAAAGTCAGATACCAACACGAGCCTAGTTCAGTTGGTACACCCATGAACCGTTGAAATACATACCTGCGTTCAAATCCGTCTGGACGTCTGGACCTTGATGAATGAAAGTCAGCTACCACTAGATTGCCCTCGGGGTTCAACCAAGGGCTGGCTATTCCCAGTGATCCCCTTTCACGACGAGCTTGAGTCTTCGCAGCGAGTTCTTCACTACGAGTATCTTCGACGGCGTTGAATAAGTCGTGCCCGTCTTGTTGTGGACTTCTACAACATCTCATTTATTTGACATATTGATTGTACAAATGAGCAGTTCATACGGTGACTGAAACGGTCGCCCCAAAGATAAGAAAATGTCCAACTCTAATCTGAAACAGCGATTGTGAAAACTGCCTGCACACTGTATTCGGTTACCGTCAATATTTTTTTCTTCTTCATGTTTTTTTTTTTTTTTTTTTTTTAACCACTAGTACCTTTGTCGGTTCGAAAATACTCGGCCTCCGACCTTTCAGGAGGCCGAAACGAAATGACGGCCGCCGATCAGATTGATCAATGTCGGCCTCGGCCTCCTGAAAGTTCGGGAGCTGGCAAGAACTTGTCGAAACCGGACGCCAAAGGTACTAGTGGTTCAAGTTTTACTTTCGCAGTCACTTCTTGCAGATAATGCAGAAGGATAAAAGAAGACTACTGTCTTCCCCCGAACACAACGCACACTCATTATGGCTGAACCGGACCGGGAAGCATACATTCATTATTGAGGTGCGTTATGTTTGGGGGAAGACGGTAGCAGTAGCTACCTGAGTGGCTCAGTTGGTAGGTCAGTTGGTAAACTTGAAATACAGACCTGGGTTCAAATCCGTCCGTCTGGACCTTTATGAATGCAATCAAGAATTCTGGATTACCTACGGGCGGCTCAGATCAGACCAATGAAGACATACCATGGTTGCTGCTGTTTTCTTTTTTAATTAAGAAAAGAAAAAAAAAGTCAGGTATGTAAAGTTGTGAGAGCATTTTACGAATGTTGAATGATGTCGTCACAGTGCCATCCCTTTTTTTTTGTTGGGTAAATGGTGATGTCATTGCTTCCAAACATGCGAGGCGGCGTTTGCTGAATGCAGGTAGGGATATGTGTTGGTTGCCTTCCTTTTGCTCTGTGGCCAGGAACTTGGAATTCTTGAACAGTGAAGAGCCGGCACAAGGAAGCGGACCGAGTTCATCGGATTTCGGAGCGGTGCCATTCATGACCGGCTTGGAATGCGGCGTTATTATCCAGTACGAGGATCATGCGACATTCTGCAAGGCACTTGCAGCGATGTGCGGGAGAGCTATGAAAAAGGTGTGTGGTTGTGATGAGAATTTAGAAGGTAATAAATTGTAATAATTCATCTCGGGCATAATTCTTTGCTTCTGTGTGCTTTGGTGCAGTATGGTTTGGGAGTAGGGGTTGGGAGTAAGGGTGTGAGAGTAGGGGCTTGGGACTAAGGCTTTGAGACTAGGGTATGGGACTAAGGGTTTGAGAGTAGGGGCTTGAGACAAGGGCTTGGGACTAAGGGTTTGAGAGTAGGGTATGGGACTAAGGGTTTGAGAGTAGGGGCTTGGGACAAGGGTCTGGGACTAAGGGTTTGAGAGTCTTGGGCTTGGGACTACCTTCTTTCCCTGAACATAACGCATATTCGTTGTAAATGAATACAATGCATAGGATGCGTTCTTTTCAAATACAACACATATGCGTTCTATTCGAATGGCCCTAAATTTCGAATAGAACTCACATGCGTTCTATTCAATTTTTTTTTCTTTTTTTTAATTTGAAAACTCCGATACAATGCATATGCGTTATGTCCGGGGGAATAGGGTTTGGGACTAAGGGTTTGAGAGAAGGGGTTGGGAGTGGGAGTGAGAGTTCGAGAGTAGGGTATGGGACAAAGGGTTTGAGAGTAGGGCTTGGGACTAGGGTACGGGACTAAGGGTTTGAGAGTAGGGCTTGGGACTAGGGTTTGGGTCTAGGGTTTTGGGAGTAGGGTTGAGGACTAGGGTTTGGGACTAAGGGTTTGAGAGTAAGGAATGGGAGCGAGGCTTCGAGAGTAGGGTATGGGACTAAGGGTTTGAGAGTAGGGCTTGGGACTAGGGTTTGGGACTAAGGGTCTGAGAGTAGAGCTTGGGACTAGGGTTTGGGACTAAGGGTTTTGGACTAGGGTTTTGGGAGTGGGAGTGAGGGTTCGAGAGTAGGGTATGGGACTACGGGTCTGAGAGCAGGGTACGGGACTAGGGGTTTGGGGGCAGGGTTTGGACTCTGCTATACCTTTGGACTGACTTCGTCGGTCTTGTGACTCGTAGAGCATACTCACACTAGGGACTTGTTCGACGGATCTCTGAGCGTAATTGTGGTCAGATACATCCAGGACCGGGTGGTCAGATACCTCCAGTTGTGAAAGCGATGATGCATGCTTGACCGCCGACGCACACTTCGAATAGTGCCTGTTTATAGGGAGAAATTGGATGTGTTGTTTTCACACGCAGACTGCACCCAAGGATTGCTTTCACTGAGCACAGCCAAGTCATTGATGTTGTATCTACTGTCACAGTCAAACCTGTGTTGATCTAGTGTTTGTGTGCAGTTTTCTTTCTTTTTTCTTTTGTGTCAAAACTTAAAAGTTGTGTCCTTCAGGACATCCGTTAAAATTGGAACGATACAGAGAAGATTAGCATGGCCCCTGTGCAAGGATGACACGCATAAATCGAGAAACGGTCCAAAAAAAAAAAAAAAAAACAATAAATAAATCGAGAAATGGTCCAAATAAAATTAAAAAAACCCTTAAAAGTTGTATGTGCCAGTGTGGCTCACCTGCTTTCTCCACTGACATCTGGTGTGCTCATGTGACTTGAGTACCACTGCATAGCACTTTGCCTAAGGAGACGACCAAGTGTCGCCCACATAACCCTTAATTCCCAGAATCCATCCTCTTTCCCTTGTGGCGAATGTATTGGTGTGGCCATCTGTGTCTTCCCCTCCTCCACGCCGCCGCCCCCCCCCCCTTCCTCTGCTTTCATCCCCCCTCTTATATTCAAGTTGGCCTTCTGTTTACCCCCTCTCTTTTAATCTTGCCAGCTTCCCAGCTACCATCCTTGGCTTTGTCGTTTTGTGTTGTGCAGACTGATGGTCGTTGGACACGTACAGGTAGGTGGGGCGTGTGATGGCCGTTGGGAAGCTGGCAGGATTAAGAGAGAGGGGCTAGAAAAAGTGGTGGGGAATCCGTCCGGGACCGACATTTATGGGTGGCGCCCGGAATTTTGAGGGCAGGCCACTGGGGACCGGGTGCTTGTGTGGATGGGTCTGGGAGGGGTTCGTGGGCTGTTTTTTTTGCTTTTGATTCGCTGTGGTTTCGTTTTTTGTTTTGTTTTTTTTTTGGGCTGTCGGTAGCTTCTTCCTAAGGTCATCTGTGGGATTTGTGGAGTGGATGTAATTGTCGTTGGGCATCCCTCTGCTACTCAGGGAATGTTCAAAATGAAAATGAATTGCCCGCTAGAACCTGGGCAGGTGCACTGCCATATTTTCTGTCTTTCGTGCAAGTGGTCGGTAGTGAAGCGAGGTCCATCATATGTCGTTTGTACAGCTGTCGAATGCATATCTGGCTGCAGTCACGGTCGGAGCCTCAGAGGTGAGTCGAAAATATTGTTTTTTTTCCCCTTTTTCTTTTGCTAGTGATGTGATGTACATCATCATCGTCTGCGGTTGTTACACCGCGGAGCCAAGTACCACTAGCAGCGTCGAGTTTCCTCGACGCTCGAATCTGGACTTCTTTTTGGAGATGTGCAGAAAATTGCACTGTGTTTCGGCAGCTTCACATCTTCTTAAACACGTCCAGATTCGGGCGTTGAGGAAACTCAACGCTGCGAGTGATGTTTTTTCATGGCTACGATCCGGACGTCCGGACGTCCGGACCCCTGTCCAGACGGTCTGGATTCAGTCTGGACTCCAGACGTCCGGTCTGGAAGTTCCCGATCTGCAAAAAAAATAGAAAAAAAAAAATCTGCTTTGTTATTCTGCATAACATTTTTTTTTTCAGATTTTTTTATTTTTATCTTTTTTAATGTTCCGGACATTTCCGTACCTGCTTACCAGTCCGGACCGTCTGGAAACATGCATGTCCGAAGGTCCGGATATGTCCGGAAGTCCAGACGTCAGGACCTGACCGGACACGCGTCCGGTCCCCGGACATGAGCTGTCGGGGTCCGGGTCCGGCGTAGCCATGTGTTTTTTCTTCTTTTTTTATATTTTACCCAACATTTCACAACGTTGAAGGCATGAACATCAACGGCCATCGGGGTACAGTCTTCCTTGAAGGCACAATCTGCGTGTCGGATCCGGTGAGTGGATGTGACGTCATCGTATGCAGTCGTTACCCCGAGGATGCATCTGACTGCCGTCATGTCCAGAGGAGAGGTGAGTCAAAATTTCGATAAACGTGGCCCACGGGAGCGAGGGGTTGATTTAGAGAGAGAGATAGTGAGAGAGAGAGAGAGAGAGAGAGAGAGAGAGAGAGAGAGAGAGAGAGAGAGAGAGAGAGAGAGAGAGAGAGAGAGAGAGGGTTGACAGAGCAGTGTGGCCCTAACTCGAAGTTGCACGACTTGTGTAATCATTGGCAGTCCGGATCCAGTTTGTGTGTATATTACAAAGTCCATTGGGATTCCGACGAGTACTTCAGTGAGAAGTCCGTGCGAAGAAGGAAGTTTGAGAAAGACCGTCTAGAGGAGATGGAACGGAGAAAAGCAGCAGAGGAGAAACGGAGAGCAGCCATCGAGGACAGGAAGGCTGAACTGAGGCGTCTGGAGGAGGAGAAGAAGGAAGAGGAGGAAAAAGAGAGGCTGAAGAGGTAGGCCTCTGCTGACATTTGAATTAGTCCCACTTCTGTAATGATTGCCTTGATTTCCTCTGAAAACATACATACCCACACAACATCATTGACCAATGCAATCGTCTTTTTTTACGAACTCATCAGCCCCTGACTGTGTCGTATCCGCTAATTCCATCAGGATTCAAACTCATCATCTGTTTACTAACAGTTGGATGTGAGTACCATTGACATGTAGCAGCAATGCGGACTGTCTGCGCAATTGACGGATGTCTGCCGGACATCGGACAAGACACGTGGATGTGGGTGTGCAGATGGAGCAGGAAAATCAGGTGTAGCTTTTTTTTTTTGTTTTACCATCTCAGGATGTGTGCGTTTCATCTCTTGTGCAGTGGCCACTTTCAGGCCATCTGCCTGCAAAGGACGAGCATGAACAGGCGCCTCCTTTGTATGTGTTGGTCAGTCGCTCGGGCGGGCAGGCGGCAGCCGGTCGGCCGGTTGGTCGGTCCGTCCGTTTGGGTCAGTTGGTCGGTCCGTCCGTTTGGGTCAGTTGGTCGGTCCGTCGTTCGGTTGGTTTTCGGTCCGTTGGTTGGTTCGTCTGTGTCTGTCGATCCGTTGATCCGTCTGCCCATTCGTCCGTTCGTCCGTCTGTGTGTCACGAGTAAGCGACCGCAAAGTCACCCCCCATACATAATGTAGTCGAGCAATTGTTTGCCTTCCTATACTTGATGAGGGTGTATTGTCTTGGGAGGAAGAGGGACCCGGACAGGCGCATCTGCTGCCCTCTCTCCCTTGCTGAGGTGGCACACCCGCAAAGCCCTCCCCTCTCTCCCTTGCTGAGGCCAGTCGGTCTCTCTCTCTCTCTCTCTCTCTCTCTCTCTCTCTCTCTCTCTCTCTCTCTCTCTCTCTCTCTCTCTCTCTCTCTCTCTCTCTCTCTCTCTCTCTCTCTCTCTCTCTCTCTCTCTCTCTCTCTCTTTGGTTTCTTAGCAGTGCTCCATTGTGATTTACATGCATGAGCAAGGCATGTCATGGCAGGTGCCACAGACTTAGTGCCAGATCCCACTGACAAAGAGGGTTGGAATAAGTGTCTGAATCTGGACGTGTTCCACGCAGAGATGCAGAAAAGAAAATCAATTACAGTTTTTTGCATCTCTCCACCAACAAGTCCAGATTCAGACACCTAATCCAATCGTTTTTGCCATTGGGATCTCGCTCTTATGAGTAGCCAGCTTCTCATGCCCGCATGCGGGAACAGTAAGTAATGGTGCTTCGGCCTGAGGAACAGTAATCAGATTTCGTATTGCGATTCGTTATTGATGTTTGTGCAAACAACATCGCAATGCGAAATCTCATCTTGTATCACAATATGAAACGCCTCGCAATACGGAATCTGATGCAGGAGCTTACAATATTCACAGTGTCAAAAACAGTTCATCACGCCGTGCGACACACCCGCGACACTTATAGAGAACCAGTCCAGAACCTTCTTCAGAAGTACATAGCCTACCAAACACACTCGCGTCATCCCTCGGCGTCTGCTCTCTAAACATCCACCTTACACCCCTCTGACCCAATCCACCCACTCAGGAGCTGCTGCTGGTATTGTGTCTGTGCCGTGTTGTGGTTGTGGAAGGCTTTGTTAAAGTTTGTTGTATTTGTTGTAATAATAATATAATATCCTTCCCCCCTGGCTGGTGCTGGTGTCTGAACCCACGGCCTGTGGGGTTTTTCAGCTATTGTGCATGGAGGCGATAACCTGGGAACAGTGGAAATTGTTTTTCAGCTATCAAAGATTTGAACCACAATTGATTGTGCACAAGCTTCACTCCTTTTATTTTGGGTCTAGGGTGTCTTACACGTCGATTTAGTATGTGTGGTCTTGGAAGACGTTGAATACCCTTTTGATTGAAAGAAAGCCAAAAATTGTCTTACACTGTGTTGTGTTTAGGGTTTCTTTCACACGCATCGACTTAGTATGTGTGGTCTTGGAAGAAATTGAATACCCTTTTGATTCAAAGAAAGCCGAAATTGTCTCGCTTGTAATCCAGTGACTGGGTCTGAAGAAGTGATTGCAGGAAATGGTTGAAGCCACAACCCGTACCCGTGCCTTTCTTTCTGAACCGAAATGGTTGGAGCGAGAACCCACACCTGAGCCTCGCTTTCCGAACTGAAACGATTTTGAAGCCGCAACCCCGTACCAGAGCCTCTCTCTCCGAACCGAAATGGTTCCATGATGATCTTCAACCATTTCGGTTCGGAGAGAGAGGCTTGGGTACGGGTTGTGGCTTCAACCATTTCCGTTCGGGGAGTGAGGCCCCGGTACAGGTTGAAGCGACAACCCGTACCCGAGGCTCTACCGGGGCCTCTCTGTCCGAACCGAAATGGTTGAAGCGACAACCCGTACCCGAGGCTCTCTCTCCGAACCGAAACGGTTGAAGCTGATCGGTACCGGAGCCTGTCTTTCCGGAACCGAAATGGTTCCATGAGGGACTCAGTGGCGACATATTCTGAAGCTGTTGTTTCAGCGCTCGACTTCCGAGGCTCCGGGACACTGGTGGAACACAATGTCAAGCGGCGCCAAGCAAGAAAGAAAAAAAGTGCGCTGCTGGCGGTTCATCAAAGCTCGGCGCACAGTGCCAGTCCGCGAGGCCGTGTACTGGGGCTTTAAGACATCACTAAGAGGGTGTTTTTTTTTGTTTTTTTTAAATAATTTATAGACACCTGTAAGAGGGTATTCTGTATACTGTAGAGAGTTTTTTTTTTTTTCTTAATAATTTATAGACACCTGTAAGAGGGTATTCTGTAATATCTGTATACTGTAGAGATTGTTCCACCACTCCTGACAACGCGGCAAGACTGCGACCAAAAAAGTCATAAAACAGTCCATCATAACCGTTTGGGTACACGTTTGGTAATCGCCGTGCATGCCTGCCGACCCTGGCCCTTCTTTTTTTTTTTTTTCTTCTTGTTCTTTGTCATCCATGGAAAACTGGAGTGGTCAAAAGGGAGAAAAGTTATAACGGTTTAGCATCCTGAGTACAGGGGGGTACAGGGCCCCCTTCTGTATTTTCTGTCATGCCTTGTAATCTTATCTGTGGTCTGGCATAACAGGTGTGCGTGGCGTCGGTGTCAATTTCCTAAAGCGGAAAACCGTGGAACTTTGTTCTGTTGCAATTCAGAGAGGAGGCTGAGAGAAAACAACGTGAGGAAGAGGCGGCAAGGGTAGCTGAAGAGAAGCGGCGAGAAGAGGAGGAGCGATTGCGGCGAGAGGAAGAAGAGCGGCGTGTAGAAGAAGAGAGAAAGCAGCGTGAGGAAGCAGCCAAGGTAAGAAAAATATGGCAAGCTGCTGGCTGCGACAAAGAAGTGCGATCTGGAGATCATAATATTTTAAAAACAAAGTAAAAAAAAAAGTGGATACACTGCTGCCTTTTGGTATATGATAATATGAGCAAAAACAAATGCCGGTGAATTTTCAATTCGGCAAATTCGTCTTACTTGCAATTTTGGTAGAAAGGGGTGACTCTATGGGCCGAAAGTTGAAAGTTGAAACCGTAAAGTTTGCGATTTTTATTTTTGTTCCCCCCCCCGCCTCCCCCCGCCCCGGGTACTTTTTATTCCTAGGCTACCAGCTGGAATGTTTGGGCCCCTCCCAGCTGTCCGGAATGCGCGGGTCTGGTCTTTTTTTCTTGTTCTTTTTCTTTTTTTGGAATGTATGGGTCTCGCCCTACCACTCTTGACTCTCGAGGAAATTGGAGAGTAGTTTGAGAGCTGTCGAGCACGCGCAACAAGAGAAGTCTTCTCTCCACTTGCTCTCTCGAAGGCAGGACTGACTGCGAGAGGACTACCGAACAGCAGTACCCGACAGCTAAACGGCTCGTTTGTCCACCCCGACTCGAGGTGGACTCTCGAAAAACAAGGTCGTCAAAGGCCACGGCAGTCCTGCATCGGGATTCGAGGTGGACTCTCAACAAACGAGGCCGTTCAAGGGTGCGTCAGGCCTGCACCATCAAAAGGCTTTGTCGAGGGTCCTTTTCAAGAGTAAGTGGAGCGAGGCCGGAGTCTCAAAAAACTGAGAGTCGAGAGTAGTTGTGCTAAAAGACCATTGTGTCTGGATATCTGGCTGGAAGGGTCTGTGCGGCCCAGCACAATATAGAAGGCTGGGAAGGGGAACCCTGAAAAAAAAAATAAAAAATCTGAAGGAAAAGTCGTCGAGGAGTTCAATTAACTTCAAACTAAGCTATATTCTTCTCTCCAATTCACCTCTTTATTACCTACCTACCCCTACTCCTAAGAAGCTTATAGAGGGGGCACTCTCCCTCTAAATCAAGGGGATGCATGTTGTGCACGCCCCCCCCCCCCCCAACCCCACCAAATCAACGTGGTCAGGGAGCAGGTGGCCCAGCTCAGCTGGTTAGGCACGCAGGTGGCGTTCAGGAGGCGGTGGGTTCAATCTTCACTGACGAAGTTGGGCATGCTCTGTGCCCAACCAAGTGTGGTAGTTGGCTTGCTCCCCCTGGTTGGTATTGGCAGGGTCTTTGGCCATCACGTGTGTGTGTGTGTATATGGGGGTTGTGTCTGGTATGTGGGAGAGTGTTGGCCTTAGACACTGCTGTTACTCGATGCGGGTGGGGGGAAGTAGGTGGGAGGGACAGCTACTGCCAAATACTCGGTCTTTGTGTTAGCCGCCTACCCCCCCCCCAAATTGGTTGGCCCACCCAACACAAACAACTTTTGGCTGAGGGTCGTCAGGAGGTTCGTGATAAAATTGATGAAAAAAAAATGAAAATGGGAATTGGGCCTGGATATCCAAGACCTGGTAACCTAGCTTTTTTCCTTTTTTCCTTTTGGCTGAGGGTTGTCAGGAGGTTCGTGATAAAATCGATGAAAAAAAAATGAAAATGGGAATTAGGCCTGGATATCCAAGACCTGGCAGCCTAGTTTTTTTCCTTTTTTCCTTTTCTTCTTTCTTCCTGTATTTCATCCCTTCTTCGCCTTCCCCACCGTTTTCTCGTTTTTTGCGTTTCGCCTTTCATTTCCTCTTGCTTCTTTTTTGAAGTTTTTTTCTCTCTTTGCTCAAATTTTGAACTTTTCTGGAAGTTTCTCCTCCTTTTTTTTTTACCAAATATCCTTTTGAGAATGATCAATTTATGGGAATGCAAGGTAGTCGTATCGGAAATGGAGTTCACGCAATGGTCTTCTTTTTTTTTTTTTTTTTTAAAAAAATCAAAGTCCTTTGTAACCGCCATATTTCAGAATGAATCTGGTCACGGATGAATCTCCCCAAGTGACCGTTTTTTACCGTTAAGGCCTTTTTTTTTTTTGTTTTTTTTTTTTTTTTTTTTTTTTTTTTTTTT